ACGAAGAGAGAATTATATTCAGACCTACTGAAATTTATCATTTAATCACTCAAACCCTATGATATTTGAAATATTAGACATAGACCTCCAGAAATTTGTACGCACGTAACACTTAGATTCTTGTCGTCAAATGTTTGTTAGTAAATTATACCCAGACCCGCTGAAGTTTACAAACATATAATACACAGATTCCTCAAATTTAAAATGTTATATTTAGACAAAAAATTCTTCAATCAAAGGTAGAATATCAAATATTTTAAATTTTATAACTAAAATTCATGTTCTATTATTACATTTATTGAAATAAAATTAAAATTAAAAATCTAAATCTAAATTTTTCTTACAAAATCATAATATACATTTATATTATTTATTGAAATTTAATTTGGTCGTTTAAACGACCAAATTAAACTACCAAATTATCCCAATTAAAATTAGAATATATTGTATCCATTACAGTTTAACCTCTTGTTTAATTTTTTAGTTTTATTCCAATATATAGTATAATTGTATACTAATTATGATTTTTTTAAAAAAATGTAAATTTTTATTTTTAATTTTATTTCAATAAATGAGATAATAGAACATTAATTTTGATTGTAAAATTCATGTTTTTTTATGAATGACTTAGACTCCTTGTTTGATTTTTTTTAATTTTATTCAAATAGATAGGATAATTGTATACTAATTACGATTTTTTGAGAAAAAAATTTGACTTTTTATTTTATTTTATTTCAATAAATGATACAATATGACATGAATTTTAATTGTATAATTTAAAATATTTGATTGAATTTTTTAATCGAAGTATAACATTTTAAATTTGAAAGGTCTAAGTATTACATGTCTACAAACTTTAAGAGATCTTAATATAATTTATTAACATATATAGACAGCAGGGGATTTAAATGTTACGTGTGTACCAATTTTAAGAAGTCTGTGTGTAATATTTTAAATATCAGAGGACTTGAATGATTAAATAACAACTCTCAAAAGATGTAAATGTAATTCTCCCTAATATGAACTTAAATAAGTAACAATAAAGGCATGCCGGAACACATACCACAAGTATGGATTTCTAACTTAAATTCATCCTATGAGTGTATATAGCTCGGATATGATCCCATAAACGCATATACACCTAAATATTAACTTGTATTTACCATCATATTTCATCTCAAATTCAAGTTAATATTATGTGTATATATAATTTGGATTTAATTAAAAATTGATTGAATACTATATATCTAAAAAATAATGTTATTTGAATATAATTTATTTATTTAGTTATTCATAATAATTAAATTAACAGTTGATCCTAAAATATGTTGAGTCCCACAATCAATCTGATGAATTAGATCCTCACTGAGGTTGATTGATACCTAAAAGCAAGCACATCATGTTCAAGAACACGTGAGGCTTTGAGATGAGTCATTGTGAGAGGCATTTTGGCATCTCCTTCATCTTTCCGCTCAAACAAAACCCGTAAAAAATCTTTACTTTCTTTGGCAGTGGCACTATCCATTTTTACCCGTGGATCAATCATCGTCTTGAAGATCCTATCATACCTCTCTGCTAAATCCTTCGTCGTCTTCTTCTTCTTCTTAATTCTTCTTAAAAATTTTCTGTTGGTGAACCACTCACCCCCTTGTGTATTTGCCCTTGTGTATTTGCCCTTGTGTATTTGCCCTTGTGTATTTGCACTTTACTAAGCTATTACAATGAACATCCACATATACTTATAAATAGAGCACGGAGCACACTCAACTCCCTTTATCTATTTCAATGACTTTCGAACTTACTCTATTTCTGTCTCCACACCTTATCCACCATGGCCTCATATGTAAGTGACAGTTCGCTGGAATAGAGCCGCTGCTCGTAACTCTCAGTTATTGTTAAGTGTAATAGTGATATTATGTCATCACTGATAAGGATGTAATTTGGGCAGGCTAACCCGAGAAAAATAAGACTTGGATTAAAATTTTTAATACTTGAGTTGAGGCTAGATAGAAAAAAACCAACTCAAATTGAATTCGAACAGAAACTCGGATTAAGACATCGGGTTACTGGGTTCAACTCGAATATATAAATCGGGTTCAATCCTAACATATTTAAAAATAAATATGTAAATCAATATACCAATATAACTTATATATTAAAACACTAGGGATCAATTTTTTAGTTCAGTTTTATGTTAAATATTTGTCTATTATGGTCTTTATGTTAAATATTTGATTAAAGCTGTTGGTTGTTACTTTAGGTAAATATTATGTAGTACGTACTGTGTTTAGAACAACAAGTTAATTTCAAAGGGTTTGAATGAACCCAACTTGAATTCTAACTTGAACCAATTCAAATTATAACATAAAATTTGTCTGAATTACGTAACTTAAATTCAATCTGAGCCCACTCAAAAAAAATTTGGGACAATACTTGGGTTGAATAACTTAGATTGAGATCGGGTTAGAGTTGAGTTAGAGTTGACCCCTCAATCCGTCTGAATTATACTCCTAATCACTGACACATTATATCACTGTCCAATTATAAAATACCTTGGAAGATAAACGAACCCCATTATTTTTACATAAAAATTATTGGATGCAGTAGTTACGGGTAGTTGAAATAGTGAGATTCACTCAGTACACATGGGGTTCATTTGGTAGACATATTATGAGGGGATTAAATATTAGAATATACTATTTTTTATTTAATCGGACATAATATTTTGTTTGATAAACAAATTTGATATCGTATTAATTTCAAAAACATATATTGATCTTATACTTATCGTATATTTTTATACGATAACTCTTTATTATTGAAGTTTTTTAATACCACCAACAGAGGTGGTATTATAATTCAATTCAAACATATTATTCTACACATTTATTATTATAATCCTTTAACTGATAAAATCAAGTTGTCATCAATATAACAAACACTGATTGAAGATATTTTGGTTAATTCAACATTAATACGATGAAATAATTCTCTAACCAAACAACCAATTAGATTAAATAACTATTATCCAACATTTATATTGTTTATTACTAAACACTTGATAAAATTACGTATTATTCTAATAACCTATTTAATCTTGTCTTTTGTCCTTTCGTATTGTATTAGACTGTATTACTATATTTAATTCATCTATTTCTAATACGACAACAAAACGAGCTCATGATATTTTATTTTTGATAGATAATATCACATGTTAATAATGACGTGATATCACCGTTACATTGAATATCTTTTATTCTTCTTTATCGAAGGAAAAATAAAAAATAAGAAACGAATTCAAGTCTAATTCAAAGTTTTTTTTCTCCTATGTTTTTTTTTGCTATTCACCAAGGGAAAAAGACAGTATAAGGAAGATAGCCTAATGGGTCGAACCATTTTAATAAGCAACCCATTCTTCATATTGGACCTTTGTGTCCGAAGTAAGTATAATAAGCGAAGTAATACGATGTTTGGTAAAATATATTTAAAAATTATATGTATTTTTTTTTGTGTTCATAAAAAAAAAGAGAAAGAATTGAAATCTCATTTCAATTGTGACAAGAGTTTTATTCCTTTAAAGATTAAACCATTTTAGATGTAGTACTTGGGTCGGACTTATTGATATTTTTGGACTCTTGCAACTATATTTTGAGTAAAATATTTTCAAAAATTACATGAATTTTTGTTCATTAAAAAATAATAGATATTACAACCCGTCCTTAAACTTTATATCCTATTTTAAAATGTTTCACGAACTATTACTTGTTTCAAATTGATAGAAGAAATTAATTGACATAACTTAAAAATTTAGGGTCTAAATTAAGAAAAAAAAAAATATTGACAAAAATCCAAAACCCCAAGCCCCAACGGAAAAGACTTCGCTGGCCAGAAATCTAAACCCCGCTTCCTCTTCCATGACCAGCAAGGCAGCGACTTTACCCTTCACCCATTAGCGGTCACCCTCCCCGATTACAATCCACCACCACCACAACCACAACCACAACCACTCTTGTCCGACCACCATCAGCTCCAAAACCCACACCCATCCTAGTCACCGACACCCTTCTCCCTACACGAAAACGAACATGAATGCACACACAAACTGCCCGGTTGCGCATATACACTTCATTCCCTTGCCGAAGCTCTGTTCGGGGCCTTCGTTCAATTCGAATCAGTGCATAGATCTATTGGGGGTTTCAATGGAATCGTGTGGCATTTGGGGGGTAATTAAAGCTCTGTTCTTTTTGGGGGTAATATCTCTTGTACTTCATCGGTATTTCGGAGAAACACATCTGGGTATGGTGGATTTTGTCAAATTTTATACTGTTTTTAATGCAATACACACTCAAAAACTACAATGGCTAACCCTAATTTCTGTGTTGTGTATATATTGTCATTTTGGACCAAAATCAAACCCTGGTTTCGATTCTTCAAACACATCTTTGAACTTGGTGGAAAGGGTTGCCCAAAGCAATGTTTCTATTTTTTGGGATCTGGAAAATAAACCCCCAAAGTCTTTTCCTCCTTATGATGCTGCTATTTGGTTAAGGAAGGCAACGACAGAATTTGGTGTTGTCAGATACATGGTAGCTTATGCCAATCGGCATGCCTTTACTTATGTTCCACCAAATATTAGGGGACAAAGGAAAGAGAGGAAATCATTGAATCAATTGGAAAATATGGGTGTTGTTAAGCCGGATGAACCATATTTATGTTGAGTTTGTGGGAGGAGATTTTACACAAATGAGAAGTTTATTAATCATTTTAAGCAAATTCACGAGCGTGAGCAAATGAAGAGGTTGAATCAGATAGATTCTGCCAGGGGGACTAGGAGGGTGAAGTTAGTGGCTAAGTATTCAATGAAAATGGAGAAGTATAGAAATGCTTCTAGGGATGTTTTGACTCCAAAAGTTGGGTATGGCCTGGCAGACGAATTGAAACGGGCTGGATTTTAGGTTAGGACTGTGTCGGATTAACCACAAGCAGCGGATGTTGCGTTGATGAATCATATGGTGGATATGATGGACAAGAGGAGCGTTGAGTGCTTGGTTCTCGTGTCAGATGATTCAGATTTTGTCGAGGTTTTGAAGGTGGCAAAGTTGAGGTGTTTGAAGACAGTTGTCGTGGGCGATAATAATGATGGGGCTCTTAAGAGGGCTGCTGATGCTGCATTTTCATGGCAGGAAATCATCATGGGGATGGCCAAGAAGGAAGCTGTATCGGTTGTGGGGAGGTGGAGGGACCGTGATATTTTGAGAAGATTGGAGTGGACTTATGACGATGAAAAGGAGAGAAACCTATATGATTACAATGAAGTGGTTGATTATGAGAGCAAGGATTCGGATATTGAAAGTTTTATTTCTGGGGAAGCAGACGGATGACACTGGGTCTTGGTAGGAACTGGAATCTGAGACTGTTATGGCATCTTCGTAAGCCTTGGAGCGAATATTCATAGGTGTATAGTGTTGAGATCTTGTTATTTTGCTTTCTTTGTTTTAGGTGATGTATTTCACAAATTTTATGAAAGGAACAGAAGCTATTGATTATCTTGGTACTAACAAATGAAATTGTTAAATATATTTGCTTTATTTCTTTCAATGGATGATAAAAGAATATGACACTGGTAAGTGGTGTGCTATACAGCAGGAATATGTACTAACATGAAGGAATGGTTGTTGAAATTTTATTAACCGCCTCTATGTTGGAGCGAAAGCTGATACCAAAATCAAGAAGCCCCATTACATCTGAATTATGGAACACATCGAGTATTGTCTTCCAGTGCTATAATCACTTTTCCTAGACCGACTTTCCTTGATTCGGTATGCTTCCTTCTTGATTTTTTCTTGTCATCTTCCATTTCGAGCTTATAGCTTGGTAGGAACTGTATGATAGCTAACGTACCAAATGGAGGACATGTTTTGCTGACTGATACATCCTAAAATTGAGATCTTTATAGCTTATATAATGTAGATTGTGTCTTAACTTATAATTACAGTTTAAACGAATATAGATGTATCAATATTACACATAATTACAATCAGTCTATTCACTATGGACATAGGGCAGCATCTGAAGAGGGTCAATAGAGCACCTATATAAAGATATGACCACAGTTCCTTTGTGCAGAGAGATGAGCTTATACAGAAGGTGCATTGGTGTATTCTGTTGACCAACTCACCAACATACTTGGTACTATTTGTAGAGGTCCATGTTGGATAATATTGGAGTAGGGATAGCGATCAGAGGCGTCTTCTTCTTGATCACAATCCCAAATCTCTCTGAAAGTTCAAGTTCTTCACCTTCAGGCAACTTCCACTGGAACAAATGCAGGAATGAAGCCAACACATACTTCAGTGTCCTCTCCGCCAGGGGAATGCCTGCGCATATCCTTCTTCCAGATCCAAATGGGAGATACTGAAAATTATTTCCAGAATAATCCCATTCCCCATTGCAATTCAAGAACCTTTCGGGCTTGAACTCCAATGGATCTTCCCAGAATTGAGGGTCCCTGTGCATTGCCCAAACATTCAGGAAGACGTTGGAATCTTTTGGAATGGTGTATCCACCTACAATGCAAGACTGACTTGGACGCCGGGGGACTAGAAAAGGGAGTGGAGGGTGCAATCTGAATGTCTCCTTCACAACTGCATCCATGTAGAGTAATTTTTGCAGATGGGACTCTTCCACCATGTTGTTCTTACCCACAACATCTGCGAGTTCTTCTTGGACCCTCTTCATCACCTCTGGATTGTTTATAATCTCTGCCATAACAAACTCTACCATGGTTGATGTTGTGTCTGTCCCACCCACCACAATGTCCTGTTATGATCATTTGCCAGTACAAGTAGATGGGGAGAAAGAAAGACCCATTAGTTTTATTAGCTGATTCCACTAATCCAACACAAGTTCAACTGTTTGATATTCAATTCAGCTACGCCGGTTAAAAGATAGTATGAAATTATAATTTTTTATTAGGATGAAATTATATTTTTAAAGAATTATATTAATAGATATCAATAACAAAGAATTATGTATTATACGCACATAAACGTCAAGAGGTGTAGGAGTAATATTTTAGATGTGAGAGGTATAAATGATTAAGTGATAAATATGAGGAGATTTAAGTATAATTTATCAATTTAATTTTAGACGATTGTGTATAAAAATTAAGATTTTTAAAATTCGAACTTTTTTTTGTGATACAATTTATAATTAATCCTATAATAATCTCAATACCTACTTAATAACGTATCAAAATATGTTAACAGTGGATAACTTACCATCAACAAGGCCTTTATCTGTGTCATGTTAATTCGTTTTCCAGTATCTTCCTCCTCCTGTAGCTGCAAGAGTATCTGCAGGAAATCCTTCTTTTCTTCATTCTCCAGTGCTCCTTCCTTATTCATGGTATTCGATTTCATTCGTTCATTGATTACAGCATCAAGAATTCTTTCGACCCACTGAAAGAGCCTCTTCATATTTCGCTCCACTCCTTGCACATCAAACCTTGCAAGCATCGGGAAAAAATCAGAGATGTTTGGCTTTCCAAATGTTTCAGTGATTTTCATTACGACTTCACGAAACTCAGCTTTGATATTACTCGTCTTCTCCCAATCGAGTGTGCTTCCCCACAGCATACTCATCGTAACATTGACCTGAGTTAGAAAACCTATGTCACCAATGTCTATAGGTGTGCCAATCTTGGTATATATCTCTCTAACAGTCTTCTGCACTTCATCTCTTCGAAGATTGTAACCGGCCTCAATGCTTCTATTACTTAGCATCTCTCTAACAAATACTTTCCGCATATTGCGCCAGTAGGAGCCATAGGAGGACCATGCAATGTCGAGTCCGCCATAGGTTACAGCCAAGGCGGCGATGGGAGGGTCACGGTTGCCAAAGATGGTGTCGTGGTCACGAACCACCTCCTTTGCCGTTTTGAAAAGTTTTAAAACCATTTTCAAGACCCGGGAAACACAAATTTTGCACTGAAGCACGGGAAACACATCCCATATATGATTATATTCAAATGGTGACAAACAAGTATATTTTAGGAACCTGGTCTTAATATAGATCATTTATTTTTGCCGGATACGTCGGAGGGATACGCCGGATAACACTCCGGCGCCCTTCTAACTTGTCTTTCTTTTTTTCAGGGACCTCCCTCAGGCTTATTGGATCGTTCTATTGACTCACGAGGGTCTTTCGTTACCCTTTCAGGTTATCACTGGACCTCACAGGCCGTTCTAAGCAGCAGGGTTGACCATTCGACTAATTCACTCGAGTTCACCAAAGGAGAGATCTGTTCTCGTTTCAAGACCCGTAGAGTTGAAGAAGAGATGAATCAAGTACAGAACTACTGTATTTTAGGAAAAAATTGAAAAACTACAGTTGACAAGGGCTCTTACGCAATTATTAGATATCTTGTGAAATTTCCACCGCATATGTAAAGTTGCTTTGTTGAAGATAAATGTAAATACATGACGTAATTGACAACATCCAATTGAAGTGACATATCCGTTGAAGTATGGCGGCTGGAAGGCTTTCACATGAAAATATCTCCGAAATTCATATTATCTCGAAATTTATAATTTTGTAAAGTTACGTTATAATTTTTGAAATAAAATTCATAATTATAAAAAATAAGATCGACCATAAAAATTAAATATTACAAATCTTAAAGATAAAGTTATAACTAAATACAACACGACACTATAATTAGAATATTAATAGTAATGAGAGCCTATTTCAAAAGTATATATTCAAACCCCTTATTTTTAAAGCCCAATATTATTATAAAGAAAAATATGATGTTTAAATCTCATATGAACACTATTCTTTTTTTGTCTATGGGCTATGGGTGCAATTTTGACTGTATTCATTATATTAAAATTAATTAAATTCCATTTTAAATTATAAAATCTTTTAATCCGGATTCAATCCAAAACTTTTAGTGCAAGTACTACTCGTATGGTTAAAATTTTGAACTCAAGTTATCAACTCAAATTGAAATTTGGATTCAATTTTCATTTTGAATTTGGGGTTTAAATCATGTGGACATTGGATTCAATTTCGCTTTGATTTTTGAGTTGTACAAATCGATGTAAAATTCATGTCGAGTCTTGAAAAACCCAAAAATTCAACTATAATATTGCCCAAATTCAAAACACGTTAAACCTCCTTCGAAAAGTCAAATCCCTTAATCAAAGACAAATTCCTTTATTTATTTTTGAATTTCTTGGCAATTTCATGAGAGACTATGAGAGATTTATCTCTTACAAATATTCTAGTATCAACGTTGATGACTTGCATCGGATCGAAAAAGAGATTAAGAGAAGTGCTTGTAAATTAGTTTAGCCATCTCCGACTGTTCAACAAAATAGAAAAGAATGTTTACTATATGGTAAATATATACCCATTGAGAAAGGGGTTTTTATTCAGGAACAGGGCCATTCTTGCATTGGATAGCTTTTCAAGTATGAGCTTCAAAAATCTATGTCACTAGACCATATTCCCAAAGGATAACACATTTTATATCTTTTCTCTCTCGTCGAGTCCCAATCACTCAAAACTTGAGTTTTTGATTGTGGGCTCAGTTTCTTCTCTCTTTGGGCTTGATCATAGGTTGGGTAAGGGCTGGGACGATTCCACTCTTATACTCCGTTTGGTACGATGAAAAATTGGAAAAATGAAAAGTTGAATGAATAAATAAAACATTATATTTGATAAAAAAAAGAAAGTAAGAAGGATGGAAAAGTGGATGAATTAACTTTCTTTCCAACTCACTAAAATCAATCCCTCCAAAATCGGAAGGAAAGTGGATGAAAAATTAATTATTTGTGTTGAGATGTATTTTATTTGTCTATATATCTTATGTATACATTAATTTTATATAAAATTACAATAGTAAAATATTTATATATATTTTAAAAAAAAATTTAAGTTAAAAAAAATATTTTTTCTATCTTATTAAAGGTGAAAATTTTCAACTTAACATGATGACACGACTCGAACTCGATACGAAAATAAATAGGTCAACTCGCAACTCGACATGACACAATTAGTTAAATGAGTTAAGTTAGGTTTGACTAATATTTGACACAAACTCGTAATGACTCAAGACGAATTTGACACGACACGACTTGACTCTATTGTCACTCCTAACCATAACCAGCACAAAAAAAAAAAGTAGTCATTTTTATTTTTCATCCATGCAACTACAGGAATGATAGAAAATGTATCTTTCTTATTTTCCATCATTGAAGGATAGAAAGTGTATCCTTCTTACTTTCTATCCTTCCTGCTTTTCATCCTCCTTATCAAACGGAACATTAGAGTGTGTGTTGTGTTTAAGTGAATGCTATGACCTTCGCATTTTTAAGTGAGTGGTTGTAATTATCTTAAGATAAAAAAAAAAAAAAAAAAAAAGAGTATGCAAAATGATACAAATTTTGCACTGAAGCACGAGAAACACATCCCATATATGATTATATTCAAATGGTGACAAACAAGTATATTTTAGGAACCCGGTCTTAAGATAGGTCATTTATTTTTGCCGGATACGTCGGAGGGGATACGTCGGATAACACTCCGGCGCCCTTCTAACTTGTCTTTCTTTTTTTCAGGGACCTCCCTCAGCCTTATTGGATCGTTCTATTGACCCACGAGGGTCTCTCGTTACCGTTCCAGGTTATCACTGGACCTCACAGGCCGTTCCAAGCCGCAGGATTGACCATTCGACTGATTCACTCGAGTTCACCAAGGGAGAGATCTGTTCTCGTTTCAAGACCCGTAGAGTTGAAGAAGAGATGAATCAAGTACAGAACTACTGTATTTCAGGAAGAAATTAGAAAACTACAGTTGACAAGGGCTCTTACGCAACTATTAGATATCTTGTGAAATTTCCACCGCATATGTAAAGTTGTTTTGTTGAAGATAAATGTAAATACATGACGTAATTGACAACATCCAATTGAAGTGACATATCCGTTGAAGTATGGCGGCTGGAAGGCTTTCACATGAAAAATATCTCCGAAATTCATATTATCTCAAAATTTATAATTTTGTAAAGTTACGTTATAATTTTTGAAATAAAACTCATAATTATAAAAATTAAGATCGACCATCAAAATTAAATATTACAAATCTTAAAGATAAAGTTATAACTAAATACAACACTACACTATAATTAGAATATTAATAGTAATGGGAGCCTATTTCAAAAGTACATATTCAAACCCCTTATTTTTAAAGCCCAATATTATTATAAAGAAAAATATGATGTTTAAATCTCATATGAACACTATTCTTTTTTTGTCTATGGGCTATGGGTGCAATTTTGACTGTTTTCATTATATTAAAATTAATTAAATTTCATTTTAAATTATAAAATCTTTTAATCTGGATTCAAACCAAAACTTTTAGTGCAAGTACTACTCGTATGGTTAAAATTTTGAACTCAAGTTATCAACTCAAATTGAAATTTGGATTCAATTTTCATTTTGAATTTGGGGTTTAAATCATGTGGACATTGGATTCAATTTCGCTTTGATTTTTGAGTTGTACAAATCGATCTAAAATTCATGTCGAGTCTTGAAAAACCCAAAAATTCAACCATAATATTGCCCAAATTCAAAACACGTTAAACCTCCTTCAGAAAGTCAAACCCCTTAACCAAAGACAAATTCTTTTCTTAAGTTTTTTGAATTTTTGGCAACTCAATGTAAGATCCTGAGGGATTTATTCCTCACAAATATTTTATTCCTCACAACGTGGATGATCTACATTTGATTTGATTGAAAAGGAATTAGATGAGATGCGTGTAAACTGGTCTAGACTTTTCTGACCGTTAAACAAAATAAAAGGAAATGTTTACTAGATGGTAAATATATACCCATTGAAAAGGGTTTTTTTTTCAGGTACATGGCCATTGTTGCATTGGATAGCTTTTCAATTATGAGTTTCAAAAATCTACTTCACTAGACCATATGCCAAAAGGATAACACATTTTATAACTTTTCTCTCACATCGAGTCCCAACCACTCAAACTGGAGTTTTTGAGTATGAAAAATGATACAGATTTTGCACTGAAAGCTGGAGAAACAAATCCCATATATGATTAACTTCAAATAGTGACAAACAAGTATATTTTAGGAACCTTGTCTCGAGACAGATCATTTATTTTTGCTTCCCAGTTCAATTAATATAAAGAGTCAATGACATCTCGGTAGATGTTTGAGCCTACTCGTATAGTCCAGAATTAGATAACCGTGGCGTTGGAATCGCAACGAGAGGTACCCTTTTCTTCAAGACTATCCCAAATTTCTCCGATAAGTCTAATTTATCGCCTTCGGGCAGTTTCCAATCAAAAGAATGAACAAGTGAAGCAAGTGAAAACAAGAACATCCTCTCAGCCATTGCAGTCCCCGCACAAATTCTTCTCCCAGACCCAAATGGGAAATAATTGAAGTCATTTCCACTGTAATCCCATTTACCATCCAAAAACCTCTCAGGACGAAACTCCAACGGGTTTTGCCATATCGCAGGATCCCTGTGTACTGCCCAGACATTGACGAAAACTCGAGCACCTTTTGGAATTGTATAGCCTCCAACAATGCAGGTCTCACAGGGGCAGTGAGGCACCAGGAGTGGGAGGGCTGGATGTAGACGCAAAACCTCTTTCATCACAGCATGTAAGTAAGGTAAGTTACAAGTATGAGATTCTTCCACTATGTTATCTTTGCCAACTACAGTCTCCAGTTCTTTTTGCACTTTTCTCATCACTTCTGGCTTGTTCATCATCTCAGCCATGGCGAACTCAATTGTATTGGAGGTCGTGTCAGTACCACCCACCACCATATCCTGCCCGCAAAAGAAAAAAAAAGTTATACTACAGGATTTTTAATTGTATCACCATAAAAATTTATACCCAAATTGGTGTTTTTGTGCAGTGGAAATTTGGGTTCATAAACATTAGGAGTCATTGACGACTCCCTCGAGGTCTCTAGCTTGGGCGGGTTTAGAGTATATCTCCAAAAGGGATAAGGGTAAGCTAGTCTTTAGGAGATATGAAAAGAAATTGTCAAATTGAGCCTAAAATCTCTAAATTATTAAATGACAGACTCAACCACCAAACTATTCAATTTTACATGGCTAGCATTGACAATTATATGTAAAGCCACAAGCAGCCAAATTCTATAGCCTCCCAAAGGTCATAGGCCTTTTCTAGAAGTTTGTTGACAATATATTTTTTTATTTGGTTATTTAATTAATTTTAGGTATTTGGTTATTTAATTATTCATTTCTTTAGACATGTATTCTAATCTTCATGTTATAGTCAGGTACCAATTCTCCATCATGCAGAGCTTAAAAAATTACTAAAATTTATAATATGAAATATAACATATTTTAATAAGTTTATCCAACGGTCTTAAATAGATTTATCTAATTGTTATCAATATTCATTTAAAAATCATTTACATATGTCATATTTTCAGGCACGAATTATCTCTAATAATAAAATAAAGACAGAATGGTACACCTCTTATGCATGATATTACCGATAGGCAAAGGTGATATGATGGTGCAATATTTTCTCCATTTTAACAAATTTTTTTTGGTCATTCAATAAACAGAAAACTACAAACGAAATTAAATGCAAATATTTGTAAACCTATCCTATGCCTATGCCTTCCCTAGTTTCCTTCTCGATGAACTGCATAACTTGCATTGACAGATTTGTAAGCTAATTTATGGGAAAGCTCCCATTCTTAGCCTGAGAAGCAATCAGATGAGCCAACTGGTTGGCCGATCGTCGATTACTTTAATTTGTCGAATTGCTTTTAAATCGTCCATTTTCACAATTGAATGGTGCTAATCCACCTACTTTTACAAGAAGAATAACAGGAAAAGTTTGTGAAAGTAATAGATTTAATTGGGCTAAATATCGGTACTGTCTTGTGAACCAACAAATTTACACGTTTATCCATGTAATAATAGCAATATGAAGGGAGAATTATACTCAGAACTCAGATTCTATAATATTTGAAATATTAGATACAGACCTCCTGAGATTTGTACGCTTGTAACACTTAAACCCTTGTCATCAAATGTCCGGTAAAATGTCCGTTAATAAATTACACTCAGACTCTCTGAATCTTATAGGCATATAATAATTAGATCCCTCAAATTTAAAATGTTATACTTAAACAAAAAATCTTCCAATCAAAGATAGAAAATATCAAATATTTTAAATTTTACAATCAAAATTCATGTTTTATTATGACATTATTGAAATAAAATTAAAAATTAAAATCAAAATTTCTCTTAAAAAATCATATTATATATTTATACTATCTATTAAAATTTAATTTGATCGTTTAAATGACCAAATTAAACTATCAAATTAAGTCAATTAAAGTTAGAATATATTGTGTCAATTACAGTTTGATCTCATGTTTGATTTTTTAGTTTTATTTCAATATATAGTATAATTGTATACTAATTATGATTTTTTAAGAAAAAAATTAAAATTTTGATTTTATTGCAATAAATGACATAATAGAACATGAATTTTAATTGACTTTTATAATAGAACATGAATTTTATTCCATTATGAATAACTTAATATAATTGTATACAAATTACAATTTTTTGAGAAAACATTGACTTTTATTTTTAATTTTATTTCAATAAATAATACAATAGATCATGAATTTTAGTTGTAAAATTTAAAATATTTGATATTCTATCTTTGATTAAATTTTTTAGTCTAAGTATAATATTTTAAATTTGAGAGGTTTAAGTATTACACGTTTACAAACTTCAGAAGGTCTGGATATAATTTACTAACAGATATTGACGACAGGGGTTTAAGTGTTACGCTTCTACAAATTTTAAGAGATCTGTGTGTAATATTTTAAATATCAGAATAATTACATAGCGACCCTCAAAAGGTCTAAATGCAATTCTCCCAACTTAAATAAGTAACGAACAAGGCATGCCCGAACACATACCACAAGTATGGAGAATTTTAACAAATTCCACCTAAATTCTAACTTAAATTCATCCTATGAGTGTATATAGCTCGGATATAATCCTATGAGCGCATATACACCTAAATATTATCTTGTATTTACCATCATATTTTGATTGAATACTATATATCTAGAAAATAATGTTATTTGAATATAATTTATTTATTTAGTTATTCATAATAATTAAATTAACAGTTGATCCTAAAATATGTTGAGTCCCACGATCAATCTGATGAATCAGATCCTCATTGAAGTTGATTGATACTTGATGATACTTAGAATGATTCCTGAGCAGAAGTTCGGGAACGGAGGTCAAACATAGAGGTCAGGTATGCTGAGCTCAGAAAGTCAGAGCTATGCAGAGCTCAGAAAATTAGAGCTACAGCTCTCCTCAAGCGAGATAATGAGCTGAAGCAATGAGGAAGCAATTGGATACTACAAAGAACTCGACAGACGGTTTAAAGTAACACTCAAGGCACAAAGATACTCTCCTAAGATCAAGGAGAATTCCTCGGATAGATGGTGAGGATCACGGATCAGATCCCATAGATTAAGGGTCACCCCTATAAATACTATGTAACGCCCCCAACAGAGAGACAAAACCTTAGTATCACATCTTACATTATGTAAACTTTTTGGTATAGTAAAGAGTGAAGAAAGGAGCAAAAATCTCCATTGAAGAGTGGATTAGTCGAACTCCCGAACTGGTGAACCACTATATTTTTACTGTATTAATTCCCCAACTCCCCAACAATTCTCAGTATCATTCCCTCGAGTCTAGTAACTCAGATCCCAATAATTCTATTATTATTTCTTTCATTTACTCGTCATCACAAAATTGCATCACGTTGAAATACATCATCAGTTTGGCGCCGTTTGTGGGAACAACTAGTCCTATTATAAACAAATTGATTTTTTAGTGACTGATGGTATCAACGCGAAACATGAACCGAAGTCAAGCAAATCCACCACGGGCGCAAGATCAACGAGAAGTTGCCAATAACAGACAACCCGAGAGCGTCCAGGAGACCAATCTCCTAGTGGGAGGTCTCCCCATGAACAATGAGATGGAGGCTCTTTGTCTTTCCAATCAATGCTTGTTGAAACAAAACGAAGAACTTTTAAAGCTCTTACAACGCTCACAGGAGGCGCAACAGGCTCAAGAAGGCCAGAACAACCCACCACCTAGGGAGCAACCACACCTCGACCCCCTCAGGGAAGTCAATGAAGAATGGAAAAATAGCCAAACCATGGGGCCAGAACCTTGCATACCCCCAGGAATGGACACAACGATGAAGTACAAAGTCAGAATGACGGGGACAAGAGGAATGATTTTTTCCCCTATCAACAGGAAAGGAGAGAACAGTACTGGGAGCAGTGCTTCCAGGATATCCAGCAAGAACTCAACCACATGAAGGAAACCGTGAGAGGCAAGGCTCTAGTTACGATGGATGCCTTGGTACAACAGACTGAATCTTTGTTCACCACTGGCGTGCTGTATTTTCCCCTCCCTCTGAAATTCAGAGTACCGCAGATAAAGGCTTTTGATGGAACAAAGGATCTCGTAGATCACCTCAACACTTACAAGAACCAGATGGAGTTGCATGGATACCAGGATCCAGTGCGCTGCAGAGCCTTTACCATCACGCTGAAAGGCTCAGTCATGACGTGGTTCAATAGGCTCCCCCCTACCTCAATTTCCTCCTTTAAGGAGCTATCCATATCATTTGTATCTCACTTCATAGAAGCTCGAAAGTACAGAAAATCGAGTTGCCACCTGTTGAATGTAAAGCAAGGACCCCAAGAGAACCTCAGATCCTATGTTCAGAGGTTCAACTCTGAATCACTAAAAGTGGATGTCCCAAACGAGAAATTTGTCATTACTGCATTCATAGTTGGTTTAGGCGTACAATCTAAAGACCTGATGTTCTCTATTTCAAAAAATTCGCAGGCCAGCATGGCCGAAATACTGGCCAAGACAGAAAAATACATAAACGACGAAGAAGCTCTCCTCTAAAAAATGGGGAGCTCATCCATGCAAAAAGACAAAGGGAAAGAAGAGAAAAAGAGGGACTGAAGTCCCAGAAGAGAAAGAAGACGAGATAGGTCCCCAAGGAGAGACAGAGAACGATCCCCCAAAAGAAGGTGAGACGTCAGAGATCGCTTGAGACCACTTCATCCAGAGTTGCAGCCGAGGTAAGCACCTCGGCAGGTCCCTCCACTCACTGCAACAATATCGCAAATCTTGTATGAGGTACAAAACAAAAAATTCCTGAGGTGGCCACCCCAGATGAAAGCAAACCCGACGAAAATTTTACCCCACTCCTAGAATACAGAACATCTTAGAAATTTTTTTCAGTAAGTTTGTCCTATAATATGATTATTAATAAAGAAGCAAGTCTATGCTTCATTCAGTCTTACGAAGAGCCCGAGAGCTCACGACGAATTCATTAGTCCGTAATAAGAGTCTTAGAGCTCACGATAAACTCATTAGTTCATAAAAAGAGCCCTAGAGCTCAAGATGAATTCGTTAGTTCATAAAAAGAGCCCTAGAGCTCACGACGAACTCATTAGTCTGTAATAAGAGCCTTAGAGCTCACGATGAACTCGTTAGTTCATAAAAAGAGTCTTGTAGCTCACGATGAACTCGTTAGTTCATAAAATGAGTCCTGGAGCTCACGATGAACTCATTAGTTCGTAATAAGAACCCTGGAGCTCACGACAAACTTATTAGTCTGTAATAAAAGTCTTAGAACTCACGATGAACTCATTAGTTCATAAAAAGAGTCCTAGAGCTCACGATGAACTCGTTAGTTCATAGGAATGAGCTCAAAAGCTCACGATGAACCATTAAGTTCATAAAAATGAGCTCAGTAGCTCACGATGAACTCCTAAGTTCATAAAAATGAGCTCAGTAGCTCACGATGAACTCCTAAGTTCATGAAAAGGAGCTCAATATCTCACGATGAACTCCTAAATTCATGAGAACGAGCTCAATAGCTCACGATGAACTCTTAAGTTCATAAAAATGAGCTGAATAGCTCACGATAAACTCTTAAGTTCATAGGAATGAGCTCAAAGGCTCACGATGAACTCTTAAGTTTATGAAAACGAGCTCAATAGCTCACGATGAACTCCTAAGTTCATAGGAAATAGTTCAGAAGCTCACGATGAACCCTTAATTTCATAAAAATGAGCTCAGTAGCTCTCGATGAACTCCTAAGTTCATCACAATGAGCTCGGCCACCTATGGTGAGGAGTTTAAAAAGAAAAACTCTTTCAGAAGAAGTTGCAGAACCATGAGGTCTACAAGTCCAACATCCTGAAAAACCCAAACAGTTCCCAAGTCCAGATTTGAACTCGACAGTCTTATTCCCATTAAAGATAAAATTGTGTTAAACACCCCTAAGCCTTCAAGAATAAGATTGCTTTAAGCTCCATACCTCTCAGTTCACCACAACCTAAGCTCGGCTGCATAAACCTACAGAATCGCCAAAGCCAGCATGAAACGCAGGGAGCAGTTGGTGATGAGATTTACCACTTACTCTCATCCAATAAGCTCAAGTATGAAACTCTCAAAGCATTCTTGCTTCAAGAAGAGCTCAGCACTCCTTAAAGCAAGGGAGACAAGGGAAGACTAAAGTAAAAACGCACAGCTAGAGCACATTTTGAAGTCGTTGATTGGGAAATCATTACTGTTACATCCTAAGTTCAGCCCTTATCCAAGTCAGCTCGGCCAAGAGCTGGGGGACAACTGATGATACTCAAAATAATTGCCGAACAGAAGCTCAGGAACAGAGGTCAAATATGGAGGTCAGGTGTGCTGAGCTCAGAAAGTCAGAGTTATACAGAGCTCAGAAAACCAGAGCTAGAGCTCTCCTCAAGTGAGATAATAAGCTAAAATAATGAGGAAGCAATTGGATACTACAAAGAACTCCATAGACGGTTTGAAGTAACACTCAAGGCACAAAGATACTCTCTTAAGATCAAAGAGAATTCCTCGGATAAATGACGAGGATCACGGATCAGATCCCATAGATTAAATGTCACCCTTATAAATACTATGTAACGCCCCAATAGAGAGGCAAAATCCTAGTATCACATCTTACATTCTGTAAACCTTTTAGTATAGTAAAGAGTGAAGGAAGGAACAAGAATCTCCATTGAAGAGTGGATTAACCGAGCTCCCGAACTGATGTTGGTGAACCACTATATTTTTACTGTGTTAATTCTCCAACTCCCCAACAATTCTTAGTATCATTCTCTTTACTCTAGTAGGTCAGATCCCAATAATTTCAATATTGTTTTTTTCATTTATTCGTGATCACAAAATTACATCACGTTGAAATACACTATCAATACCTAAAAGCAAGCACACCATGTTCCAGAACACGTACCATGAGTAAGGCTTTGAGATGAGTCATTGTGAGAGGCATTTTGGCATCTCCTTCATCTTTCAGCTGCAACAAAACCTGTAAAAAATCTTTACTTTCTTTGGCTGTGGCACTATCCATTTTTACCCGTTGATCAATCATCGTTTCGAAGATCCTATCAAACCTCTCTGCTAAACCCTTCATCTTCTTCTTGATTCCTTGCAAGTCAAACCTGGCCAAACCCGGATAAAAATCCGACACATTGGGCATCCCCAAAAGTTCCGTCATCTCCGTCACCACTTGTCGGAACTCCGCCCCAAGGTTCTTTCTTTCCTCCCCCTTCACCGTGCCACCCCATAGCATATTCGTAATCACGTTAAGAACAGTCAGAAACATCTGCTCGCCGACATTCGCCGGCGACCCAGCTCGGTTGTACAAGTACTTAATAGTCTGACGTATTTCCCGGCGTCGGAGGCTGTACACGGAGTCCAAGGTGGCGTTACTAAGCATTTCACGGACACAAACCTTCCTCAGCATGCGCCACTTGGGTCCATACGGTGTCCAAACTATGTCTGAGCCACCGTACGCCGCCTCCTTGCCGGCCACCGGAACATCACGGTTGGCGAAGGTCGTGTCTTGGTCTCTTAGCACCTCACGCGCCGCCGCCGGCGAGCTGACCACGATACCAATCTTCTTTCCGAGCCAGAGGGTCAGGATGGGGCCGTAGGTTTGGGCCAGGGTTGCAAAGTAGGTGTGGAGCTCGGGGTCTAAAGACAGGAGGTTTCCGACCAGAGGCAAGCCATTTGGACCAGGCGGTAATGATGGGCGTCCGTTTGTCGATCGTTTGATGAACATTATAGCAATCCAGAATAGGGCGAGAACGACGAGGGTGGAAGTGAAAAGCACGACGGTGTGTTCGCCGTTGAACCACCATGACCAAGACTCAGATAGCATGGTGGTGAGTTCTCCAAGCATGGTTATGGGAATAGTCTGGAGTCTGGACTGGAGCTCGCCGGCGCTCCCCGGGGGGGTGGTTTGGGGCTTGTAGATGGGTGGGTGGGTGGGTTGGGGGGAGATAGATTTGGCTTTGGGGGTTGCAAATGGGTATATATGGTGCGGATAGGGTTGGCAATAAAGAATAGTTTGAATGGGAAGTAGGGAAGGACATTAAAAACTTAGCTTCGAGGGTAGGAGCGAATTATCGATGTTATGTAATATTATTAATTAATAATATTAAAATAAATATATCTCATAAAAATTAATAACCTATCTGTTATAAAAATAAATGACATCTCACTCTTCTTTCATATAAATTTAAGTAAAATTTAACTTGTTTATTTATAATTTTATTATTAACTAATAATATTACGTCAATATCGATGTCAATGTCAATAGTGACGGTATGACCGTTACATCTAATATTTAATCTAATACCAGTAGAGGACTTATGGCCGGAGGGAATCTTCAGCTGTCTGCCGCACATGACACTATCTAACATTAGAGGTCTACAGTAAAAGAGAAAAAAATTGATACAACATCGACACACTCGAAATAATTATAGAATGCATAGCACCAATGTTTTTTTGGCCGGCCGAACTCCCTTCACGGTTGTCCACGAGTAAAAAGAATCCTTCAAATTTTGGATTCTCTTTATTGGTTTTTAGGCCACTAGATAGGGACAATATAGCACAAAGACAAATACAAGTATAACGCTGAAACCTAGATGCTTGATCAAGCATCTTTTTTGTCTCTACAAATAGGTATATCAATCGACCTAATTTTGATCTACTCGACCTAAGTTTGATCTAGATTCGATCCGAATCTAGTTAGTTGAATATAAGTTAATATTTTTACCGATAATTTAAATCCGATTAATTGAATAATGCTTTTTTGGGGGAGAAAAAAATAAATAAATAAAATGTTAATTTTGGGGGAGAAAAAAATAGAAAATAAGACCCATTAAGATAGGACAGATGGGTAGCCAGCTAAACAGTGAAAAACCTTAATATTGGTGAGATGGGACACATTGACCAACCAACGACCCCACTGCTCGGACCATGCCCGACCTTGGCTGCAACCACCGTCACAGCTCCGAGTGTCCGCCCAATGACAGCCGGAAATCCGCATCAGAATGACTGTCTATTACACTGCAGTTCTTTTACTACTACCATCTGATGGAGGCTCAAAGAGAAGGCTACAAAACACATCAATTAAGTCTCAACACATGCCACAATATGCTAGTCCTAATGTAAGTAACATCCAAAATAAAGATCCTATAACCAAACCAAATCGAATCAGCTACCATTTCAACTAGAGCTTCCATTAGACTGATGCAATAAGTGGTAACATTCTTTTAAGCAACTTTTTTGAGGAAAAATAAAGACAAATTATTCAAAAAAATAAAAACATATATGATTTCTACTTTGCAAAAGAGATTTATATGAGTTGTAGCATGTTATGTGCAAAAATATATTATACATGGGATTAATCTTCAGGGAAAGGCACAAACCCAGACAACTGGACAAGGAAAACCAAAAATGCAAAAACAAACACTACTCGAAAAATAAAAAACAGAGAAAAAAAAAAACCCTAGTTTAAAAGAGGTACCGATTGGTTTTCTTTTTCTTAAGGTCTTCTCCTTCCGGCAATTGGCACACAGAATGCAAAGGTGTACATAGATTATCAACCTCTGGGCAATTGGAACACCAGCACATTTTACAGCAAAACCTAGTTAACGGAAAACATTTTCATTACAGAAAGGGTTTAAAAGAATAAATATATTCAAGCAAGCTCCAATTTATCTTAAAGATATCTAAAGACCAATTCTCCTAAATTCATCAATCTGCTGGAAAATTCTCGGAGCAATATGGTGAATGGTACCGAGGATACTTGTATTCATAAAGCTGTCATCAAGATGTAAATCGATTTATATAACTTAAAAAAGTAACAAGTTCAAATCTTGTCATGTCGGTGGAAACAGTATCAAGTAAAGCTTCAAGTCAGCTAATCTTGGAGAGGTAGGCGCTTCTTTTCTGTTCTATGTCAAACTTCTCAAATAGATCATGATTTCTTCCTTCAGGCAATTGCCGACTAAACAAGCGCAGGAACAAGGCAAGTACAAATGGGATCAATCACTGCAAACCCTGCATAGGTCCGCCCTTCCGATTCAGATGAAATATACATGAAGTCCACACATAATCTCCACACAAATTAAGGCTGAAACATACCAAACTCGCAGAAGAAAAAAGGAAAGAATAAATATTACCACGAGCAGGGCCTTGAGATGGGTCATGGTGAAGGAATTCTTTGGCTCTTTATCCTTTAGCCCCGGTAGACTTGCAGAACGTATAATTTTCTCCACCAGTGTCTTGTTCTTCCCCTTGTTTCATCATTAATTGGGTCCCTCTTCCACAATATAATTGTAGTAGCCATAATTTCGTCATTTCCATCTGCTGTAGCCCACCTAGTCAACCAAGCAGTATCTGGGAAAAAATCCGATGCATCTGGCTCATGATGACTCTCAAAAGCTGCTCCACAACATTCCGGAACTGCTTCACAACTTGGTTCCTCTCCTCTCCTCTCCTCTCCTATCTCTCTCTCAAGTCTCCGACCCCACTACATTTTTGTAATTTCCTCTACTGTTTGTCCAGGCAGCAATCGTAGTTCTTGCCTCTCCATTATCCTCACACAGCATAATAGTCATTTTTAAACTAGCAATCGACTTATTGTCGTATTCATTTCTGTTCTGGCCTCTCATCGCATTGAACCAGTTTTGATTTGTGCAATTCTTCCTTCATCTCGCTGTATCCAGGATTTCTGCAAGCAAATTACACAAATCCCATTACTACAACCTGGTGCCGCCCAAGAAAACCAACTACAACACCAAGATAAGGGTTAGGATGGTTTAAGACTTCAGTTTGAAACTATCATGAGGTATTAAAAATGGACATGCAATCTAATGTTTATTTGATGAATAATCAGAATAAAAGAGGGATCAGAGACAACCAAGGATCATGTGAGCTAAGACCAAGTCAAGAAATAACTAACCACCAGTGGGGTTGGGAGGAGTGGGCGGGAGCAAAAATTTTAGAAAATAAAAAATATCCCTAAAGAAACAATATGGTAAACAGGAGGTTGGAGCCACCAGCATGACTAAGCCTGTGGCAAACAAGGTGAGATGGAGTTACTTTGCCACATTTTGCAAAACAAAAGGGGAAAGTTTCTGTTTGGACTACCTTTGAAATCTCTTTTCTGTTTCTAGACGAGGCTAGAGAATCTCATATATCCGTCACTATACGATTGTTTTCTGTAGGTCACTCTGATTGCTGTTAAATCTAATTCTTGTGTAACTGGCAATAGAACACTGAGGCAACCCTACTGTTCGTTTTTAGATTCCTTGGTTCTTAACAAGTGGAAAACAACAAAGATTCATAAACAGAAAGCCTCAATGGATGGGCATGTTTTATAAATGCAGAAGGAAAATTCAACTACCTTGTGAACTCGATAACTACATTGAGAAACTTAAGTGCATTATAAGCCCTTAACTAAAATGCAAGCAGTTTAGGATAAATTTAACTTTTTTCCTTACTTTCAAGTTCAAGGACTACCTTTGCATTCAAGGGGTAGATTGTCCAACCATGAATCATCCAAGAAAAGAGGCAAAGATTCAGATTCGGTAGGCCATTCAGAACTCACATCTATCTCATCAAATTTGATCGGCCTACATTTCCCATCCCTACTTCTAACAATTGCTTGTAACCAGAGATTGCAGTGCACAAAAACCAGATCATTGAATTTCTCCACCTCCATTCCGTAGCGTTTCTTGATATGCAAACTCTCAAAAGTGCTCCAGTTCCATTTACACCAGTGATAAGCACAAGGTTGACTCAGAATCCGTATTGCAGCTCTCTGCAGTGTTGGAATTTCATAACCATACCCGGCCCACCAATCACCTAAGGAGCACAAGCCAGTAAGTTATAAGTATGCTATGGCACTTAAATAATAGTATCAAACAGGAAGCACTGCCTGACAACAGAGTAATGATGCGAAGAAACCATCCATCCAGCTCTCCCGAAGATATAGCAATAAGAATGAACTGGAGCTAACATTAAATGGGTATCAAAAAAACAATTTAGGTGTGATCATGGGTTATGTTCATTAAAAAAAAAAAAAATTCTAGTAAATATATTTTTTAGAAACGAGTACTATACAATATAAAAAATTGAACTGATCTTGCAATATTTATATTTTAAATAATAATTACATTTTTTAATTACGCAATTAAAATTAAAATGAAGAGAGAGGTAGGTGTGAATTGATAAAATTGTTTGAAATTATGTAGTGTGTTGATTGAGTTGTCTGACATTGGGGGTCGTGTAGAGAAGTTGATGTTTTTGGGCAGAAAAAATGGATCAAAGTAGATGAAGATTAGATCAATCTTGACCGTTCTTGTGTTTTTATAAGTTAAGAATTCAATTTCCTAACTATAATATTAGATAGAGTTAGGAAGAATATTACATGTTTGCCATTATTTTTTGGCATGTATCATGGGCAGATCTAGTGACCGGAGGAAATCAACCCCTATTTCTGCGCAGGTTTTAATTAACATCCTCTTACTGTTAACACAACCTTCCTTTTGGAATGTCATAACCACATAGAGAGTTAAGTAAGAAGATAAAAACAGTTTGCATAATACCTGGGGCATTCAGTGTCCTTCCCATGATTGCAAAATCAGTCCCAAGAGCACCTTGAGCATTTATGTATACAGGATGTTCTTTGGTTATCTCTATTTTATCTTTATCCTCACTAGCAATTTTCATCATAGCTTCTTGAAACCCATTCCTCACCTTCGAATCAATCTTAAAGCTGAGGCTGTAGAAAATAGAAGGATTAAGAAATGCTGCTGCTGCATGTAATGGGGAGTGAAGCTGCAAGTTCCATCTCCTATCAATTATCTCCCAAATTGGCACATATTTTTCTTCAATACCCTTATAATATGTCTTTATTGTAATCTTTGCCCTTTCCAGTCCCTCATACAGATAGCCCATAGCAGGCATGTCCCCATCTACAATCCTTAAGATTTTAAGTAGTGGTTCTGATACACTCACAGCTTCATGTGCAGACTTCCAAAATCTCTCCAAATACAACAGGGATTTAATAGCTTGGGCATCAGGACATCTACTATAAATAGACGCTAACCATTCTGTGTGAGAAAAAATGTGCTTCAAGTTGTCCTCTAGAATCACAATGGATCTCAAGGAGAGCAAATTACGGACAAATTTAGAAATCTTAGGCCGAATCAACTCCCTTCCACCTGTGAATTTTCTCATCAGACTAAGAATCCATACATTATTGTATATGTACGTTGTGATGGTATTTGCCTCTTCCAAGACTGTACTGACCCACTCTTGTTTACTGAAATCCTCCAATATCTTTTTTATACAATATGAAGCACATGGGGACCAAAATAATGAAGGGTATTTGTTCATGAGAAGCCTTCCTGCATAAACATAACTAGCAGCACTATCTGTTATTACTTGAACAACATTTTCCACTCCAACTTCCAGAACAACTGATTCGAGTAACTCAAACAAGTAATGAGCATCGTCGTCATGGCCAGATACATCAGTGGACTTATGAAATAACGTGCCCTTAGGGCATGAAATGGAAAATACTACAAGAGATCTAGTCCTACCATCAGACCACGAATCACACAAGATCGTGCAACCTGTTTCTTTCCATCCATCCCTTAGTTTCTTGTAACAATTATTTATATCGTCTTTCACTTTTTCTAAGAGGGTCGATCTCAACTTTTCACAGCTTGGCGCTTTATAACCTACCCCACACTCTGCCACAGCATCCACCATTTCGTGATAAGACAAGGATTTTGTGGCACTAAAAGGTATAGAATTGTGGAAGAAGAATATAGCAATCTTTTTGTCAGCATCATCCTGTTTTTGCTTTTGAGCATCCTCAACTTCTGGCTGTGCACTTGGAGAAGGGCGAGCAAATAACAGAGATGGACAAGTGCTACCATTCTGTCCACTAGAAACATGATTGGGATGGACGCCGCCACTAGCAGAAGAGCTATTTTGTTGACCATTGGCACCCCGATCCACCTTTTGCTTCTTCGGAGTCTTCTGCTTCTTGGGGGTGGTTAATATACTCTGTATATGATCCCGTACATCCTCTGGGACTTCAGCACAGGGAACTATGTCTTTGTTTTTAATCTGAGCTAAATGAAACTTCATCCTGTATACCCCTCCACTGAACTCCCGCTGACAATAATTACATCTAACTTTCTGTCTGGTGGCATCGACAAGGACACAATGTTCCCAGCAAGCATCTCTTCCCCGGACCATTATGGGGAAAAAATATAGTAAATCTAAGCCTAAACTTTTTCCTGCCACCAAAAATGAAAAACAATAGCATAAGAATTGAAATGAGTTGAGAAGAATAAATTAAAAAATTTGGAATCACACTACATTCGAATGATATCGATTCCACGACTCTGCAGATCTCAGCCAGACAAATTCAGAAACTGCATGTTCTGTTGGAGAAGAAGGTATTGACAAGATATTCAAAGCTATGCAAAAGAACTAGGGATACTCTTAGAATGCTTCTTCTGGCCATTAACTAATTTAGCATAATTAATCAAGCTAAAATTATCTAATTACGTTTTCTTTGATAGGGAAATAAATGAAATTAAACTCAACCAAGTTCGTTAAAAATGGTAATACATTTGTTTGAATTCATATGAATAATCAATCATTCTTTTCTAGCACTTACTTCACTCTCTAACATACTATAATTAATGGGTGTCGTTTCAATTCTTCACAATTTTTAAGACTAGGCAGTGTCATTACAGTCTACAAAAAGAATTAGCAATAACCAAACTCACTCAACATCAAAAAAATGATAATGAATTGTAAGCCAATTTTGGAACAAATCAACAGATTCATCAACCACTGATTAAGAAGTAAACAAACTACTAAAAAGAGAAAAGAAAAATAAATTAAACAAGGAAAAAAAACTAAATTACCAGTTCAACAAATGATATGAGACATCAATCTTCTGGAAAACCTTTTATAACCAAAAAAAATCAACTTCATATGTGGTAAATGTGAAAAACACCCCAGAGGTATATATATTACAGATCTCACAGAAAGAGAGAGAGAGAGAACCTAGTTAGATCTGAGAGAGAGAGAGAGAGAGAGAGAGAGAGAGAGGGATCTACGATGATCGGATCGTTGTTGGACGCAGTGGATGATCGGAGACAGGGATCGACGATAGAGATCCGAGGAATTGAAAACCACGGCGATAAATTAGCGCTCCTCGCGAGGCCGAATATTGCGGACGAGGAGTTTTGCGCGGAAATCGTCTTGTCCTTGCACGTGCTCCGCGGGTGTCCATTGCCCTCTCCCAATCCACAGGACCATATCATTTTTTTTCTTTTATTTTCGTTTTTCTGATTAGGTCCCCATAATTTAGTTAGGGTAATTTATAATTTCTACCCTTAAACTATGCACATGAATTTTATTTGGTCCCTAAAATTTTAATTAATACAATTACAGCTTTAAAATTTTAATCAAATTTCAATTAAATCCTTCCATCAAAAAAGAATGTAACAAAAAGATAAATCAAGTACTGAAGCTTGATACATGCCCCTAGGCCTTAAAGAAAAATTCACCGCCTAGTCTAAGAGTTTTAAAAACATCTCCTAGAGACTAGAATTAACAAAGACCCAAAGGAAAAGAAAACATCCCCAATTTTGGGTGCAAGGTGAGCAAATACCGATGCTCACACCAAGAGAATTCTATTGTCATCATTTGCGTTTTCTAATAACGACCCTTGCAGAAGACTTTTGCTACAGTGCTGATCTACCAACATTTTGTCAAGTACAAACCAACGTGCACTGCAAACATATAATTGCCATCCTCTATAATCGTACTAAGCCGCCACTAGACCTACGTTCATAATCCTTGGTAAGAATTTCGGCTTCAAGGTTATCAGGCCAAGTTACATCAATCACAAAAGATTACTTATCTCAGCATAACACCAAATTTCTGCACCAATTCAACATTGTTGATTTTGGTTCAATAGCATGCAACCCAATTTGGGAACAGTAAGAGTTAGCTTATTCACACTGCAAAAATTTCCTTGTGTCAAAACTGGGGATTAATTTGCAGTGAAGTACGTCTTCAAGAAAACAACATTCGTGTAGAGCCTAATTAGCTGCTAAATTCACTTGCTGCCTAATTCTGCGAGCACACTCTGCAAAATTTTTAACCAAATGGGCACACTTTAGATGGTCCTTGACATGCTCCTTGTAACACTCCAAGCAAGCATCTTTCTCAGCCAAACAGGGGATCGGTTTCTGGTATGGAAGTTTGAACTCCTTATCATGGAGATCTTTGGCTCTTTGGTTTACTTCCTGCAGCATTTCATCTTCCTGCTTCTGCAACCTTTCCACAACTTTCTCACTCTCTTTGAGGATACACCGGATGGCATCTAGTTCAGCATTAGCAGCTTGCTGTGGAGTAGGAACTGACAGGAATAATGGAGGCGGAAGTAGCCATCCAGCAGAAGCAATCCCTTTAAGGGTCTCAGAATCATCAGGAATTTGCTTCTGAAGCAGTTTAGTTCGGAACTGTTGGGTGTCTCGTGGTATCTTTGTTTTTGGCTTCTTTATTCTCTTCTTCGACTTCTCTCCATCATCTGCGAGCTGCTTTACTAAGTTGCTGCTAATCTGAATTGTAAATGATTCTCCCATGCTACAGCCGCTTCCAGACAAGGTACCTGAACACATCCATTATGGAGATTATACAGGGTTAAATTAGCAGCAATCTGAGGCCAAATGCAAGTTGTGCATTTCAATAGCATCCAGTAATGAGAGAATGATCTAGGCGGAGGGAGGAAAGGAAGTGGGGAAAGGGAGTTGAGGTGACTTTTGAGGGTACCTGATGAGCCAATAATTACATATCAGTGACCAAAATCAACAAAATTATAAGAACTTGCATGGCAACAATTATCTGGTGCGACTGAGAGGTTTATAGAAGACCCCAAAATCTCCGCCTAGATCACCACACTAATTTCAAACACTGTTCTAGTTTGCTAATTGCTACTAATCCATTCACAATAATATCTTAGCAGGAAAGGAATAGTTACAAGGCATTTTAGTCATTTTCATTGAAATATTTAAATAATGTGCATATCAATTAGTAAACCTTGAAAATTCATTCATTTTCAAATAAATCAAAGACCTCGGCTTTTCTGGTCCATCATAATAATTGCATTAAGCACTCTTTAAGGGTTTGTTTCCAATTGATTAACCCTATGGTCTGCTGCTTTTGGCAATAATGATTATCTTTGCATCAAGTGTTAGTGTCATGGTGGTTTCCAAAATTCCTAAAATGAAAAACAGATGCTAATGCCAAGCATGGAATAGTTTTAACATTTGGCCAAATAACTGGTTATCGTAAATTGTTAGTTTCTACAAGCAGAATCCACTGCTTTGGGAGAAACCTGGCCAGGTTGTCTGTGAAATACATTTCACCATTGAAACCCAATGAGCAACCAGATTATTTTAAAGATCCACAAATGGGATAGGCTTGCATGACAAGAATCCATCCTAAAATAAGTAGATAACAGAATGCACTGGCTAGCATATACTTTCTTAGTTGGATTTACCAAGACCAGTGCATTTAGATTAAAAGGAGGTAGAATTGAATAATAGGACAATCTTGATGATCATGCACCTGGTTGGAAATGATTGATTAGTCACACTATAATACACTCAATGACAAATATCTCTTTTCTTCAATGCGTTAAAGGACATCTAAAATATCACTGTCACTTAAACTCATTTGAGAAAACTGAAAAATTGGAATTAACTCAAGACACAAAACTTTTGCAATACTATGTAGTACTCGTGGGTTTCATAGGGTTCACAGAGAGGATGAATGCACTCAGAGCAAAAAAATGTAACGAATATCGTTTACAGGCTAGCTCCAACACTGATTGACATCATATGTTAGCAACCTTTTATCTATGATATATGCTGAACTCAACTCTACAATAGCACCAGCGATTAAATGAATAAAATGACGAGCAAAAAAAATGAATAAAATGACTTTCCAATTTGATTGAGGCAGCTGATTAGAGTTTCATGTGTCAAAAAGATGACAACCCATACAACGAACCTAACCTTAGCATAGCAAAGGCTTTGAAGTGGACAAGACAAACCACGTATTGGCATAAGTATGGGCGTAATAAGCAGTTGTAAAGGAAAAACTAGTAACCTTGCGGTACAAAGTCCCTCATGAGGCAATGCCTAATCCTCAAGCAGAATATTGATTTTTTAAAAAGACATATCTGCGCTTATGCACGTATATATTTGGTAATCATCAATAGAAATTATGCAGGGAAGAGAGAGATAGAAAAACAATATAAAATTACCAAAAAAAATATATGTTCAAAAATTAGTTTGGAATCTGCATGCTTATACAAATAAAAAAGGACCGCACTGTTAGTACAGGTTATGAAGTGTGAAGAAAGTCCAAAAAAATCCATAAAAGAATGGTCAAGTATAAGGGGAAAAAGTTCAGCATAAAAACAACAATGAATATAGAGGAACAAATGCAAATGCATCCAAATAGGAAGAAACACTTCTATTTCATGCTCCTAGAAATTTTCAAGATCATGCCAACAATAACCCAACACCCCACCTCCCCCCCCCCCAAAAAAAAAAAAAACAAAAAAAAAACCCAAAAAAACCAAAGACCCCAAAGGTAAAAATTTAAGACGTCAACGGAAATAACGGAATAATAAATGAAAGATTAGACATGGGATAATAACCATTTAACATAAACAAATTGAATATTCATTAGAAGAACAATAATGTGAGGAAAGGTTTAGCGGCATAGCCTGAGGACAGATCACCGAGGCAACTAAACCTGTCCAATATTTATAAAATTGTTTGAAGCAAACTCAAATTGATGTATTCGAAGGAAACCAATTTTCTAAACCATTAACAATTCAAACCAATTTGATTCTGGAAAAAGTCTGTTGAATCCATAGATTCCCCAAAATAGATGATCCAAATATACAATACAGGATCACAAAAAAGTACTTTTGCACTTTCTTTCTTTTTTTTTTTTTAATAGAAGTAGCTCTAATTGATTATAACTTGAGAGAGAATAGATTCAGAGGGTTTGGTCATTGAACATAGGCACCGGTTACAAAAAGTGATAGAATTTTTTTTAGTGGTACTAGGAATAAAAGTAGACCTAAATTAATATTGAAATTAATAATAAGTAAAAATATAAAAATATTTAACTTAAATGTGTGTACATCGCATCACCAAAATCAATTGCAAAAACAGACTCATATAGTCAATCCAAATGATTGGAATATAAACTTGATTTAGTTGGTTGGTGATGGGACACTTCCAAAAAGAACATAGAGTGAACACGTGTCATCGACACTGAGCGCACTTAAAAGCATTCTAGTCATGACACGTGTCCTCGGTTCCAAGGACACTCCTACTATTCTTATAAAGACACGTGTCCTCGGTACCAAGTACACATCCGTCATCGAAGACACATGTCCTCGGCACTGACATTTCTCTGCTTATCTGCGTCTGACACATGTCCTCAGTGTATGAGTTCTCAGGGGCTATGGGACTTTGACGCGTGTCCTCGGATAATCCGACCCCGAGGACTGTTTTTGGACACTTCACCTCGGCTCCCAGACTGATTATTAGCGGTTGTATCTTATCGAAGTCAGAGTTAAATGATGAATCATTAGCTTACTTTCCCAAAGAAGTCAGAATAGTAGAAAGGACATGACCAGCAACCACAGGCAGTTGAACACGTGGCACAGGTACAGAGTTGGGAGCCAATGAACAAGAATGCCCCAGCTAGTGTGCAGTCATCACATAAGAGCATTTAAAGATCCCTCAAAGGGATGGGACGTGTTTATCGTCCACGGAGCCTCGATGGAAGAGCATTAAATGTTTGGAAGCCCGAGCATTTAATGCTGATTAACCTTCCACATGAGGAGGAAGCATACTGCCCAAGAACTGATCACCCCCCATTCCCACTGCTGCCTCCCAAATGGGCCAATGGAGATCTCTCCCTGATGGGGCTCACATGCCAATAATGATGACCTCCATGAAAAATATAAATAGCTCTCAGAAATTGAGAATAGAGGTGCACAATCCCATTTGAGAACTAAGAACAGTGATTTTCCTTCCGCTATCTCACGGAACTGACTTGACCATTGGAGGGATTCACCGAAAAACTCTCTCACGCCCTTCTAACCCTTCTTTTGAGTGTCTGGAAGTGCCCTCGTCCCGCCGGAATCAATCTGAGAAAATAATTCATCACCATAGACCATCTGGCGCTCTTTTCCCACTGGATCGTCGACTTTTCAGAAAATCTTGAGTTCACCGAGGGAGAGAATTGCTTTTTTATAAACTGTGCGAAAATAACCGCACACAGTTGGTTTTTATCACAAAAAGTATTTTTGCAATTCACCAATTCCGGTGTTTCAGCAACACAATTAGTTCAATACAGGGCCAATAACGAAGCTGAATTCAGCTCCGGAATAAACTCAACTTTCACTTTCCCAATCTAATTTAATCAAACTCAGATTCAACTCATTGTATCACATAGTCGATTATAAAACATCATTCTGAGCAACCAAACATAGAAGAAACAAAACAAAACAAAAAAAGAAGAAGAGAGGAATCTGGAATATGGGAAATGACTGACCGAAAAGCATAAAGGAGAAGCTATTACCTGCCCAAGACGAGACGGGGGGAAGGGGGGGGGGTGTTGCTCGAGCACCTCTCGCGGTAGCAGGTCGGAAAGGTTCGGGTTTTGCTTCGCTTTCCACGGTATAAAGCTGGTAAAAAGGGTGGGAGGAATTACAATTTATGCCCCAAATGTTTTAAAATTCTCAATTTAAGCTCTCATAATACATGTGAATTTGACAAAAACATTAACAGAAGTTAATATGAGAGTCTTATTGTTACACTTTTGTGATATTCAGGATGTAATCTGAAAAAATTAATTTTTAAGGGTATAAATTAAAATTTTCAAATCTTTTAAGTGGTATAAAGTGTCATTCTCCCTAAAACGGAGGAGCTGAGAGAAATAGACACGCGCAATTACAGGATCTGGCTGGGCCGGCCCTAGTCCATTTGGCCAATATTTCTGGATCTGGGCCAGAATACTGTCAGACTTTAGGCCTGGAAAGTCAATTGTCCCATGGTCAGCCCTACACGGTTTTCAGAATACATTAGGATGTCATTTTGGTTTGCATCGTGTTTTCATGTAAATAAAAATTTACTTAATTTTAAAATAACTCAGCATATACTTTTAAAAAATTATCAAATATATTTTTTTATTTATCATACCAATAAATCATGTCTAATCTTAATTAGTCATATCATTTTTGAGTTGTGTCGTATCGAATTTGTGTCATATTCATATTAATGGAAAAATTCGACACCCCTAAAATATGTCAGTCATGATAAGTACTTTTTCTTATTGGCTAATTTTTTTTTTTACATGGGTGTTTGTGAAAATATTTAAAAATTATAGCAAGAAGATGAGATGAGATGAAATGATTTATTTGTCCGTCTATAAATTCATTAGCTTTTTTCTATGCTTCAGACATAGAAATAGACTAAAAGAGAAAGATGGTTAAGTAAATCCCACGTGACTACTAGATGATAGGTATGCGTGATTACTATAATATGTGAAATTTATTTATTATGCTCTTTTTGAATAGTGATAACGAAATGACCCTCTTATTCCCAATATTTTCCCCAATGAGGGGTGGATGGAGCAATGTGCACTTTAAGTACTCAACACCCCCCCCCCCTCCCCCCACCCACCCACCCACCCACCCACGACCGACCCATAAAAAAAAAAGTGCATACTTTTTCCTGTCTATGGATTGGGTTTGGTAGAAGTCGGTAGACCCTTTTCCTCAAGAGAAATTAACCAAGCAACAGGTAACATAAGCATATACTTACATACTATTTGGAGCCCAAGAGATTAGCTATATGCACCTTTTCTGTGATTCATCATAATATAAGGTTTTTTTTTTATGGACTTCATGGTCGACAGAGAGCTGAGGCATCAACTAAATCTAAGATACCATTTTTTATCTACCAAATTTCAAACATATATGGCCCATTTGAATTTAAAATTACAAGTACCAAATGACTCAACATCCCACTTAGAAATTTGCAATCCTTTTATGAGGCAAGACTGGGCCACTGAGAGCAGTAAGACATTGAGAATCGTAAAGAGTGGGGATTTCTCATCACTTTTTATTTTTTATTTTTTGTTCAACGGTCGAAGTGTTCGAACTAACTCGTAACATTTGAGTATACAACTCGTCTCTATTACCATTTAAGATAAACATTAAGGTTAATCATCCGTGCTTCTTTTGTATACTAATAATTAATCCTCAGAAATCTAAGGGAAGGACAATCTCTTTCTGCAGCTTTTCCTAATGGAAAATATGGAGGTCAGGCTTTAAGTGTATGTGAATGATTCATATACTAGTTTATATTGCATCTAAAGTGCCCATGAACCGATGGCATTTTGGCATAGGATGAATTAAAAAAACAATATTATTTATTTATACTTTTAAAACTATTCACATGTGTAAAGGTCTCTAACTATGATTTATGGTTATTGGTTATATGTTTCTCATAAACTAGTTGAATCATGACTAGGGTGGCAAATTATTTGAGCTGTCCATGGAGTCATGGACAATTCGAAATCGATTCCAGTAAAAGCTAGCTAGTTGATCAGCTTTGTGCATCTGTCAAACAAACCGAGTTCAAAATCAAATTTAAATCCCAATTAAAAAACGAACTGAAATTGATCTTGAACAAGGATTTGAACATTTAAGCTCAAACACGAGTTCAAACCAAGCTAATATAGGATGCTTGAAGTTTTTCATGATTCGAAGCCGATTATGAGCATCCTTTGCAAAAATCGGTTGATACTTGGCACGACTCAGTTTTCATTGACACACCTAGTCATGATTTCACAAACTCGTATCTTTTAGTGAGTTAAATATAACCGATAAATAATGCGACAAATTAAAAATTACAAAAACATAATTACATAATAACAAAACAACTTCTTATTTATTGATGATCAACATAATTACATACATAAAGAAGTTTCATATTCACAAGGCCCTTCTAGTTTTTTGGTGCCTATGGTGTGCCCCTCTTTTGCATAGGAGCACACCAACTCTTTATGAAGCATATGACCTTCCCAACGATTTGAGTATTGCACCATTCCCTGGTTGGTGAGAAACCTTATTAGAAACAAGGTTTCTTTTCGACCCTCCAAGAATATTCCTAAACATAAAAGGGCATAAACAACAGTGAGAACCTAAGTTGAGCCAATCATGATACTTTGTAACATGGGCACTGGTCATGAAGCTAATTGCATTCTCTCTTGTGGCCTGTGACCTCTCATTCCATCATGGGAAATGTTACTGTTTGTTGCTGCCCATGATCTCTATTGTGTTCAACATATTCGTTTCTCGGTCGTTGAAGGAATCAAAACCAAAATCATGGACACCAAAATCTTGACAATTTAATAGCCACCCACAATCCTCGTCCCACGATGTCATGCCAGCATCATCAAAGGTTTGTTTTTGTCCAGCAGATGGAAACTCCCATGGTGCATCGACTATTGGACCTTGGTCCTCCAATAGAAAACTCATCAATGGAAAATCGTCACATATGCTATCGAGTAAATGGGATTCATCACCAGAACAATTTTCAGGCGGTGAGCACGAGTTCTCCTCGGAGATGGCAGTGCCACTGCCAGAAGTTTCTGGCAATTGAACATGATGGTTTTCGGATTCGGGCAAATGGTCTCCATGAGATTTCTCTGTGGCTTTATTTTCCTTATGGAGGGGTTCATGTGTGACAGGATCAATGCCCATTTTAAGAAGTTTTTTCTTTATGTGGGTGTTCCAGTGATTTTTTATCTCGTTATCAGTCCTTCCAGGCAATCTTGCAGCAATCTTAGACCACCTTTTAAACAAATAAACAACACCAAATCAGTACAATTATGCACTAAAAACTAAGACAAAAGCTACTAACACTAGAAAATTGATTTTCTTGTCTTGACACTGCTTTATTAGTTTATGGGTGGTTGCAATCTTAATGATCCCTTGAATCTCAAGCTAAATTATTGATATATTAAACAATACATTGCTTGGCAATAGTCCAAAGACACTAAACAACTTTAAAAGAAATAAAAAATACAAGGGAAGAAAACCACGTCAAAAGAAAAACAATGATCGATTCCACTCAAGTTTAAAAAAAAAAAATTGTGTATAAAATTACAATTTGAAAATTTAGCTTGTCCTATGGAAATAATCTCTTTACAAAGAGATTACTAATGTGTAAATCTAATTCTTTATAAATCTTACAATGAGGGAATTTTGTGTAGCAAGCTACCCTTATTTCTCAAAACCAGTTGCAATGAAAGTCACTTTAACTTGCCACTGGCATGAAACATGCATGGTTGTTGTAAAACTTTCACCAAACACCAGTAGTTTTTGTTTGAATATCATGGTTGGAAGCATTGATGAGTTGTTTATTTTTTTATTTTTTTTGTTGCGATAATGGATTTGTAACTTAAAATGAACTAAAAGCTTTCAAAATGAACAACCCAATAAATGAAACTCTCATTATTATAAAATTTAAAAAGATATGATATAAACGGTCTTGTGTCACCGCACTAAAAGCCCTTGATGTCAAAAGTACAATTACATACAAAAGTGACATAGAAGAGAGAATGACCTGTTGCCAAGTCGAGCATGGAGATCAATGACCAACTGCTCCTCAGCCTCAGTAAGAAGGCCTCTCTTCAAGTCAGGGCGAAGGTAATTAGTCCAACGGAGCCGGCAACTCTTGCCACAGCGGCGTAGTCCGGCGAGCTTGGGGACAGCTCGCCAACAACATTGGCCATTTGTGAGGATGAAGCTAATAAGTTTCTTGTCCTCCTCGGCTGTCCATGGCCCTTTCTTCACCCCAAGTTTGTCACAGCAAGGTTGTCTTCCCATCACAAGCACCACCAACCTAAGTCTCCAATAAAACTTGTGAAAATTTAAAAGTCCCCCACCCACCTTTATATACCCACCAACTTCACATAAAGGTCTCACCTTTTCTCCTCCAAATATATATATGTATATATATGCAAACACACAGACAATGAGGGTGTGATGATAGGACCCACCATTAGTTTATGAAAGGTATTGACGAACTAAAAATCCTGTTCTGGCGTTATTGAATACACAAGGTGGAGATGGTGAATGATGGGTGTGGCCCAAGGACAAAGCTACATCTAAGCATTCAAAGTTTTCTTACCATTTTCCTACACAATCTCCACTCTGTGATTGCACTCTTACTCAACCATTCCATCATCCATTCGTCATCTCTACGATTACGTGTCCATAATACAGCAGAACGTAATCGTCTGTGCTCATGATCATGGAGACTTTGATTGCCTAAGCCACGAGGACCCGTTTGATCGAAGATTAATTGAACTTCGTGGTGTGGGATTAATCTCGAGTTGATTGCCAAAATGAAATTAGCCACATGCCGTTAGATCACCATCAAAATTTATTTAATGATGCAGGGTAGCGCGGATAAGAAACAAAATTAAATAGCAAAAATTTTAACTTATTAATTATCGCAATAATATCAATTTAAAAGTCTTCAAGAGCTTTGTTAATTTACGAAGAATACCAAGTCAATTGAAAGAAAGAGGAACCCCCAGTTTATTTCAAAATAATTCAAAGTTGTTGAATTCAATTTTTTAACAAAATATAAATATGAAACCCTAATGGCTCTAAATAACTAGAAAATCCAAGTAAATAAGCAATAATATGAAAATGTCCCAAATAGTAGGATAAAAAAAAAAGTACCTAAAAAACGTCCTAAAAGTCATTTTCTGGCTTAAAAATGACAGGTTGAAAGATATATATTTCAATCTTGCTCAGATCGTCAAGAGTTTTCAAGAATAAAATCTTTCAAAATTTTCTAATACTATTGCCCAGAATCAGCACTGATTGACGCAATGATACTTTCAACGGTCTTAATTTGCCATATAAGTATATGTTATACATGTTATATCATTTACTAATCCTAACAAAATGCTACCCCTTGCAACACAAGGTGGTCATAGTAAATAAGCTCGTTTCATGTATCTTTTACCCCTTTTTAACTTATAAAAAGTAGGGTGCAACTTGGGTTGGACAACCGATTTCAACCTGAAAAAATTAGGGCTTGGGTAAGGGTTTTTAATACTTGGGTTGAGCTTGGGTCAAAAAATTCTAACTCGAATTCAATTTGAGTTGGGCTCGGGTTAAGGCCTCGTGAACCCGAGTTCAACTTGAACCTGACAAATTAAAAAAAAATTATATATATAAAGCATTAGCACTAGTTTTTCATTTTTGTTCTATCGTTCTCTGTCTTTCTAATTCTCTTTGCCTCTCTCGTTCTCTCAGCCTCTCTCGTTAAAAACTTGGTTAAAATTATTGGTTGTTAATTTAGGTGAATATTATATAATATATGTATTAAGTTTAGAACAACAAGCTTATTTTGGGCTCTACCTGAATTGAACCCGTAAAATAACCCGAAATCATCAACCCGAATTCAACCCAACCCCCCCGAATTAAACTCGGGCAGTACTCGGGTTGAGTTTTCCAACCCGAGGTAGGGTTAGAGTTGAAAATTATATATCTAGGGTTGATTGTCCAACCTGCCCGAATTGCACCCCTAATAAAAAGGTCTCTCTAGGAATATCTCCAACAATAAAAATTAATTTAACTATTTAAAAAACAACATTTTTTTATTTTAGTTACTCAATTTTTCAATACACATTTCAACAGACTTTCTATATTTTTAATTATTTTTTTTAAATATTATTTTTTATTCCTTTTGTATTATTTTTCTTTGAGAATACTGAGAGCGAGAAAGAGAGAGAATGAAAGGAAGAAAATGAGGAGAGAGAAAATATTATAAAGAATTCATACATATTGCTACAGTGATACACTAAATAGAGTATTACTATAGTAAAAAACTATTTTAGATGTTTTAGACATGTTCTGTTGGAGTGGAATTTTTGGGTAAGATAACTAAATTTTGAAGTTTTTGTATACTTTAACTAATCTTTTGGAGTAGCTCTAAGAAGGCTATTTTGAAATCGAAGATGCGGGGCAGTAACTATAATTGATCAATAATTGGTTGAAGTCGATTTTCGCTTTAGAAAAAGCAAAATAAAATGGTCCTCAGGAATTTGCTTGTGGAAGACATGAGAGACATGCCTATGAAGGAGCAGATCTAATTTAACCTATTCAACTTGGACTTATTACCAATAAAATAACTATTTGGTTTGGAAGAAACCACCATTAATAATGCACACAGTCACGTACAAGCATCTTCTACTTTTATTTGCAAACTTTCTAATATATTTCAACCTTAAATCCAGTTAAAACAAACCCATAATTTCTTTGAATATCCAAAACCAACCCACAAAACTCTAGCAATTGCTTTTACATCTTGCAACAAACAAAATCAGAAAGTACTTAAAGATACTTTGACAACATGAACTCGTTTCTTTTCCTGGCTGGGAAGCCTTACTGCTAAATCATTCAGATTAAATTATCAAACTCTGATGCTAAACTCAATGTATAGCTAGATATACAAGGTTATTCTCGTGAGATCGATCATGTCTACTATTAAAATTGCCTCTTTTGAGGAAGAAAACAAATATCCTCACCAGATAGTCATCGATTTCTTGCATCGATTCATTTGATTAATCACAAACTTGGAGGGAGGGATCATTCTGACAAAGTCAAGTGTTGATATTGGCTTAATACTTCAACTTTGCTTACTTTCATACGTATGTGTCTAAATCTTAGAGAAACAAACTTTGGAGTAATAGTTTAATATCTTTGACACGGACCACAATATTTCCATAGTTTATCTTCATACGTTCCATCAAATTTTTCTCACCATTTGTGCTTAATTCTAGATTGTTCGATTGCTATCATTTCTCACGTTAGCTAATTGGTTAGAGAACAAATTTCTGATACATTGAGTATATTTCTACCACTCCTCATCAGATGGCTTAGAGAGGTTGACAATGGTACAAGTTTTGTCAATGTTTTCAGTTAGATTGACTCAAATATCAACGTGCTTGACTCGTATTAATACTTGCTTGATCAAGAAGGTTTCTTGATTGAAATTTAATTCTCAAAATACTTCATATATGCGGTCCAGATTGCATTACATTATATTATCTAAAAGAGATTGGGGGCAGGTAAAAATCCATGTTCTTGGTCTTTGACTTGGAGCCATTAGCTTAGGTGAGTAGTTGTATGTGGAGCCCTTTTCTTCCACTGCCCTTTCTGTTAAACTATCCAATCTCAAGCTTCAAGAAGAAGATCATTCCGTCATACTACTTTAGGTGATCACAAGAAAGGTGTCACTGAGAATACACTTGGTTCATGATCAATCAAAATTAATTGCCATCATAGTGGGGCGGTCAATACATTTTCATTAACTCACCACTTCATACAATTAACCAAGACGAAAGAGGTCCATCTATACAGCATTAGGGTTCAACGAGGTTGTAAACCGGCCACATGGCAGAAGGCCGGGGCATTGGTTTTTAATGACAGATGTTGAAAAACAGGTGAGAAATACCAAATAACTTGCAAGGCACTACACTTTATAATCTTACTTGTATTCTTTACTTGAAATTTTTGTTGTTTAATACTTTCATATAACACATGTACTTGCATTTTGTGAACTGTAAACTTTCCCCTTAAGGAAAGACAAGTGAAGGATATTACATTTGTGTATTATATACATGCAAGTCACCATCATATGCACCTGCTGTGTGCTCTCAATCTCCCAACAATCGAATTAATTCATGAGCAAACACGTACGAGTTCTCAGAATCTCCCTGTGATCAGTATACTCCATGATCAGCCACCTAGGAGTTTTTGAATGTAAAGAATACCACTACGATGAACCATACAACAAGTTATCTAATGAATAAATCATTTAACATTTTTCTGCAAATTTAAACAAACATAGGTGGACCCAATCCTGAGTATGGTAAGGGAGCTAAGGGAGGCATTGCTTGTAAGGTTGGAACTGTCTGGTTTAAGTTCAGCCATTACTGTAAGCAGTTATGAGTTCATGGTCACCACAACGACCATGGTTCAAACTTGGTCCACATGTTTGAATTCCTCTTTTCGGGTTTAAGTTCATCGTATTTGGTCTTTCCAATTTATCGAAGCATTTCCTGATTGGAGGATAATTTCCAAATCCCTTCACAGTGTTCGTTGTTTTACAGGGAAAAAAGTAACATGTAATTGGTGAAAACAGTTCATAGTACATTAATACCCGAAACCTATCATCAATTTGTGTTCAACTATGCCAACTCGAGCCAGAAAAATGATCAAAATTCAAGACAGATGATGAATTTCCAAGCCAAGAGGAGGTCAAAATAAAAAGAACTAGATATCCAGGCACAGTGAAGTACATGGAGACAGGCTTTAGTTGGTTCTGCTATTACTTCCAGAGATGTGCTCATTGCACAGAATATATGGTTTAATGGGAAAATTGAAGTATTAAGAGGTTTCAAACTCAGAAATTTTGTATCTTGACTATGAAAGTTGTATGGTAGATATGCTAGCATTCACTATCACCTTATGCAATTCCGGAAAATTTTTATTTGATGTTTCTCCTTACCTTGAGGAAAGGAAAATCAAATTGCAATCAAGCCATCGCTTCTCTCAGTCAAAAAAATCATAATCCTTTTCATTAGTGTAATCCTCAGGTACTTGTCTCAATCTCCCACTAGCGGTGATGATGAATATCTAAACACAACATTGCACCATTATTATTGTTAAATACTCCAATAATCGCACCTTAAAGCGACTCATGAGCTAATAAATCACAATTTATGACGTTTGAGTGTAACTATTCTCCGCAAAACCTTAACATCATTTTTATGTGGCAAGGTGAAAAAGTGATAATTACATATTGAAGGGCCTAATGACGTAATTTGTGAGTAAAGGCATCGTCATTAAGCAAAATTAGTAGAAGCTTGTGGGAGACTGAATAGCCATGGAATCCAAATGTCTCATCTCCACCAATTTCCTATGGTTTCATTCTGTGGCATAACAGTACTTGGGAGAGAGCTTAAAAAACAAAGGGGTGTTCAATTAGAGGTCAGAATATTGCTAAGGAATTGAAAGGTGGTTCAATTATCAACTGCGTAATTAGTGATCCAATGACGAGACCTTTTGAAGGTAAGAATTTTCTTGACAGGTTAGATGTAGTTCGGATATTGTTACCTTTTGTCTGATAAGACTTTAAAAGATGGAGTTGGTGAGGAGTTAGAT